TTGTATAATCACCATGAAAGTAGAGTTGTATAATCACCATGAATGTATAGAGTTGTATAATCACCATCAAAGTATAGAGTTGTATAATCACCATGAAAGTACAGAGTTATGTGCTCTGTTATTCAGCAAATTATATATATATATTATTTTAACTTTAGGAAACACAATAGAAACAGTTAATTGGATAGAAGAGTGGCTGGATGGAAGAAAGCAGAGGGTTGTTACAAATAGAGTTCAGTTAAACAAGATTAATGTCACAAGTGGGGTACCTCAGGCTCAGTCTTAGGGCCTTTGATCTTTTTTGATTTACATCAATGACATTGATGAAGTAATGGTCAATAAATTACTTAAATATGTAGATGATATTGAGGTCTTAGGTGTTGCTGGCTGTGAGGAGGATGCTGTTGCTTTACAAGAGGGTTTAGATAAGTTAGTTAGTTGGGAGAACAAATGGCAGATGGGTTTTAATTATAATAAATGCAAGATAAAGAATTTGAATTATAATTTGGATGGGAATATCTACAGTGTCATGAAAGAAAGGGATCTTGGTGTAGTCGTTGATCAGTCTCTTAAACCATCCAAGCAGTGTGTTGTTGTTAATGGTAGGTTGTTTCTACAGAAATATCGAATACAAGTCTAAAGAGGTTATACTTTCATTGTACAGGTCACTGGTTAGGCGGCCACATTTGGAATATTGTGTTCAGCCTTGGGCTCCTTACCTTAGGAAGGACATTGAATTGTTGAAAAGGGTTCAGAGAAGGGTTACTAGAAGGGTACCTTGAATGAAATGGAGGGGTTGTCAGACAAGGAGAGACTGAAATCTCTCAAATTGTTTATCTTGAAAAAAGAAGAGTTAGAGGGAATCTCATTGAGGTGTTTAAGATCATAAAGGGATTGATAGTGATAATGCAACATCTTTGTTTTCATACATAACAGTGAGAATAGTAGGACTAGGGTCCACAGATATAAATTTTGCCAGATACCTAATGTGTAATGGCTGGTTCAGATACATTAAAATATTACTTCTACCTTCCATTGATGTGTTTCTATAGAGTGAAATGTTTGTATCGATTGCCCGTTTTATACATTAGCCATTTTTGTATATATGATCCTTAGTTTTTTATTTGGATGCAAGGTATTTCAGCAACAGAGGAATTTTGTTTTTCCTTTGCACCAAGTCACTTTCTTCAGTTTATCATATTTCCAGAATTATGTTTAAAAACATTGTTTGCTAACAATTGTAGTACTTTTACTGAACTCCAACCAATTTTAATTTGATATGGTAACTTTAAGTGAGTTGTTGTTGTTGTTGCAGTGATTGTAATAATGTAGGTGCAACAACAACACTGAGTAAAATGTGTATTTGTGAAATGAAAATGTAAAGTGCTTTAGTTTTGTATGTTTCAGTACATGGATTTTCTAGTGACAGTGAAAAATGTTTGACTCAAGTTAAATGGTGAAAAGATTTATCTTCTAATGAAAGATGAAAACCAAATAATATATCAGTTTGACTGGTGCTTGTTTCATTAGAACCATAAGGTACTTTAGTTTGACTGATGTTTCATCCATGAGAACCAAATAATATATCAGATTGACTGGTGCTTTTTTCATTAGAACCAAAAGGTACTTTAGTTTGACTGATGTTTCATCCATGAGAACCAAATAATATATCAGTTTGACTGGTCCTTGTTTCATTAGAACCATAAGGTACTTCAGTTTGACTGATGGTTCATTCATGAGAACCAAATAATATATCAGATTGACTGGTGCTTTTTTCATTAGAACCAAAAGGTACTTTAGTTTGACTGATGTTTCATCCATGAGAACCAAATAATATATCAGTTTGACTGGTGCTTGTTTCATTAGAACCAAAATGTACTTTAGTTTGACTGATGGTTCATTCATGAGAACCGAATAATATATCAGTTTGACTGGTCCTTGTTTCATTAGAACCAAAAGGTACTTTAGTTTGACTGATGTTTCATCCGTGAGAACCAAATAATATATCAGATTGACTGGTCCTTGTTTCATTAGAACCAAAAGGTACTTTAGTTTGACTGATGTTTCATCCATGAGAACCAAATAATATATCAGATTGACTGGTCTTTGTTTCATTAGAACCAAAATGTACTTTAGTTTGACTGGTATTGTTTCATAAGAACCAAAGAGTACGTTAGATAGACTGGTAGTTGCTTTTCCTACGGTAGTGCTATATCCAAATTCAATAATTACATTTATATTCTGAAAACTTTATTGTAATGTTTTATGGTTCTGTCTCAGTTTGTCTGTGAACCCTGTGCTTTCAGGATTTGAACAAGTCATAACTTGTTATTATATGCCTGTTTTAAGGTAGCGGAAGCTGTACAATATCCATAAAATAAACTTGAGTATATGTTGAAGCCTTTTATTATACACCTGACAGACTGTTTGTGTGAATAAATTCAAAGCACTTCTACTATGTAAAGGAAGTTGACATTTGCTTTCATAAAAAAAACATCACATTACGAGCTCAAGGACAAAAACAAATTTTATTAGAAAAAAACGAAAAAGATAAAAGACTTGTTTTGAAGTTCAGAAATAGATTCAGATATATAGAAACTTTCTATTCATAAACTATATTTCATTTAAATAAACGTGCTTTTAGAGTTACATTTTCAAGTTCTTTTTGGTAAGTTAGGGTTGTATGAGAACTTGTACAGTTTCATTAAAATTGAATGCTTTGTAAACAGTCTCCAAAACGTCAGCTGTGAAGGATAACTAACACATTCTGATACAATTCAACTAATATGAACTGAATAATGCTGGAGTAGACACTGGAAGACTGTACACATATATAACTTCGTCATTTTGTTATGTGGTGGTGGGCGTGCCTTTAGTAGTTTAGTTAAAATGTTGCCTATAAGTTGAATAATATTAAGTATTGTTTGATGGATGCAATTTGAAAGATAAGAATGGATGTAATTTGAATAAAGATTAATTTTTACATTTACTGTGTGTACATACTTTTGAAAACTGAAATTTCCTTTCAAAACTTCTTTTCAAGGCTGTTAATGTAATGATTAATAATTATCCAGCTGAGATTAAAATAAACAAGTAATTATTACTGATGATAATGATAACTCGTTCATTTTATATATGACTAAAATGTTAAAAACATGTACACAGTGTTTCTTGAACTAAAATGGTTTAATTTGTTAATTTTATTTAAAACAAATAAATGTGTGTTAAGTGTTTCATTGGCTAAAATGTTAGTATCAGCTTGTAATAGAAGCAAACTGTATCAGAAATAAAACATCTAATGAATATAATTTATTTTTATATAATGTTCTTATCAGTAACGAATGAAATGCATTAATTTATTAGTTGGATACCCTCGTTGATTGTGGTGTTTTCGGGTCTTTTAACTTTTTTGATTTTCAAAAAACGTTTTTAATCAAAATTTATGAATACATCAATTTATTTTTACATAGCAGTTATATTTCATGTTAAAATAATTTCTCATTCAGGTTTAATGACAATCAGTATGACTAAATCTAAAATATTTACTGATGTTCTGTGTATATATATATATGGGGGGACAAATCCATTGTGAATATCTTTTGTTTAGTTATGAAATAGTTGAACTTTTATTTCTGAGAATTCACTTTTATGAAACCTATATTATATTAATGAAATAAAGCATGTGACAGAAATGTTTAGTTAAAATGAGAGAACATTGTAAACACATTAGATAAAACACTTGTGTTTTAGATTTTGAGTGAAGAACTAACTTAGTGTAGAGTTTGTAAAAAGTTGTTTAGTTGTCCAGGTGTGATAACTTGAGAAATAAGGATGATCATTAATCTTTGTGTTGTTTCTTTTACCCAGTGCTCGGTATGTCCACTTGGTTCTTATTCTTCCAGATTTCATTTAAAAATTTGTGTTCAGTGTTATGTGTGTTGTTTACTGTATGTAACTAACAGTACGTTGAGAAGGTGCAAGACTTGTTCTTCTAAGGAGGGGTAATAATCATTTCATAAATACATACAGTTGGGCCTTTTTTAAGTATTGATCTAGAAGAGATGATAGACTTTTCATGAGCATATTTTCTTATAAGAATAAATATGCGTAAGAAATTATAATAAAGGTGGACAACAACGAACATATGTTTCTTGTTTAACAATCTTGTACTTTTTATATATATAGAATATATATATATATATATATATAAACTTTATTGTTTAAGACATAAAGAGGAATGTTATCAGTAACTAGATGCATGTAATACATCAAATTGTGTTTTGTTGTCCAAGAAAAGTTATGTAACAGTCCACTGTATATTATACATATGTAACAATGATGTTTCATATGTTATATGTACACAAGCAAAAGTACCCGTCCCCAGTGACGGGAAAAGTTTAAGTTAATTTATCAGTTTAAGTTATTTAATGGAGAAAAGTAATTGTTGAGTATTTCAATGATGCTTAGAGCTGCTCAACAATAATGTATGGTAAATGTGTACTTTTATACTTTAAGTTACGTCACATTTTGAAGTATGAATGATAGTGTGATTAATTCCTAACAACTTAATGTAGAATATCCTGCTTGCGAAATAAAATTTGGCATCAACATTATTCATGCCTGTTGTCCCGTCATTCCAAAAGTGAATGTTGAGCTTTGCCTACTTGTGCAACTTTTTAAACGCAGCATGGGAAGCAGCCACCATAAACGGAGACTGAATTTTGTGTATATTTTTTTTAAGTATGTGATTATTGCAAGTTTTAATTTAAAGTGAAAGTTCAGGTGTTATTTAATATAAAATTGATTTTGATTTTTTTTATACAAATAAGATCTGAATTGTATGATAACCTTACCTAAATGTTTAACTTGTTCTGGCACAGCTTTTTTTTTTAATCTATTGGTTTCTTTTTACAATTTTTGTTGTGATTTCTTAAGATGTGAAAGTGGTTTTATGAAGTAAAAAATAGGTGACAGGATTTCCCTTTTTCTTTTTTTCCTAGAAAAGCGATTTCGATGTACAATGTGTGAATCCAATTTCACCTATCAGTCAGCTCTGAAGCGTCATGAGAGATTTCAACATGCTGAAAATGTGTGGAAGAGCTGTCCTATTTGTGGAGCTTCTTACCGACGGCCTGACAATCTCACTTCTCACCTGAGATTACAGCATGGAGTTTTTTCTAAATACAATCGATCCAGTTCTATAATTGATTAGTTCAGTTTACAGATATGATTTGTTTGTTTCTCAAAAAATGGTTGTGTTGAATTTTTAATCATTATGGACTAAGTTATTTTTGCTAAAGTGTGCAGTATGCTACATGTGTATATTGAAGTATGTGAAAGTGTGCAATATGTGCTACGTGTGTATTAAAATCTGTGAAAGTGTGCCATATGTGCTACATGTGTGTATTGAAATCTGTGAAAGTGTGCCATATGTGCTACGTGTGTGTATTGAAATCTGTGAAAGTGTGCCATATGTGCTACATGTGTGTATTGAAATCTGTGAAAGTGTGCCGTATGTGCTACATGTGTGTACTGAAATCTGTGAAAGTGTGCCGTATGTGCGACATGTGCGTATTAAAATCTGTGAAAGTGTGCAGTATGTGCTACATGTGTATTAAAAGTTGTGAAAGTGTGCAGTATGTGCTACACGTGTGTATTAAAATATGTGAAAGTGTGCTGTATGTGCTACACATGTTTTTTAAAATCTGTGAACGTCTGCCATATGTGCTACATGTGTGTGTATTAAAAGTTGTGCATCAAATGCTGTTGGTAATCCTACAAAAAGTTGTGATTGTAAAGGTATTCAGAAAGTGTTTTAAGTCTGTTATGACAGCTCTAACCTGTCGGGGGGGGGGGGGGAGAAAGGATATGCAAGAGAAGTGTTAAATAAAGTTTGCATATTTTGTAACCCAGCTGCTCGTCACCACAATCTTTATGTTGCAGCTAATATATTACTGGTATTGTTATCAGTCTGGAACAGATGATGAAAAAAATAACATTGTCTCTACTTATGGTACATATCTTGTGCTCTTAGCAGCGTACAAGTTTCCTTCATTTGTATAAATATGATTTTAATTACAGTTCAGAGAAAGATATGTATTTCAGCTTGTTTTATTGTAACAATTATCATAGCCTAAAATGATCATAATATTAAGCAGTGCTGTGCGTGAATGATAAATATATATTCTAATTGGGCAAAGAATTATTTTCATCCGATCAGAAAGTGTGATTAGACTCGACAGCTGGACTTGGGGTTATGTTCATCATGCCATTTTTTGATATAATTTTTGACTATGTCTTATTCTAATACACATGTATTATTGAATATCGTTAAGAGATTGACATAATTAAAATCATTATTACCTATTGTGATGCCTTTTCACACCTGACACCCCCGTTGATAAATGTTTTTATGGTATTCTTTCTTTGATGTTTTTGTGGAACTTCTGTACCGTTTATTATAAAAATGAAAGTTTTTTTTTGTGTTTAATTATATTTTTTATTAAAGTAACAGTGTTTTATAGATAAAAATACATTTTAAAAACTTTTAACTTCTCTGTGTTAATCTTTTATTTGTTGAAGAAGAAATTACTGATAGAATATTATTTGTAGGACTTACACTTGTGATTGGAGAACAAATAAATTTTGATACCTAGGTTCTTGTATTTCATTTCTTGTACGTTCACTGCCAACCTGATGAATTAATAACAATTAATTACTAAGACTTTTTAGAAAGAAATCAAGAAGATGTGTAGTTGTGTCAGTTTCAAGTTACAAAATTGGAAGAATACTAAATTGCAAAATGGAACAGAAATAAAATGTTTTAAATCATTAGAAATTCTGTGTAAAGTCAAACGCTGATCCTTTTTGCATGTTACAAGATTAGGATGGTAAATTTTTTTATTTGAAGTTTTTCTTTCCATTTGTTTTCCACAACTTTCTCTATACCGTTTATAAAACTGTGTTAAAACTAGCAGTGGCATGACTTTAATCACATTTCAGAAATGTTAGATACTGTGTGGGCAGCCCAATGGCCGTGTGTGGCCATTTTGAAAAAAATGTGTGGTCAATTCACAGAATCATCGATAGTTTTTTTTTTTTTAGCTGGTCAGAGAAAATGAACACTAAATGTCTCATTGAAATTTTTTTGTACTTTTGCGTTGTGTTTATAATTGAACTTGACAGTCTTTAGAATCCTGAAATATATTTATTTAGCAAACATTTTCTGTTTTAATAGGAGTGTGACCATTTCTGTGATCGACTGGCCACATCCATGGGCAGGAAAAAAATTTGGTTGCCCACCCATGCGTTAGGCTAACAGAATCCTTGAATACGTTTGTCTTGTGTATGTATGTATATGACTGAAATCTTACAAAATAAAGGTAGAGACAAAAGAAAGAAGAATATGGTATTTTTCTTGTCATTTTTATTTTAAAGTGCAATGCTCTTTTGTAGAAAAGCACTTTCAGATTTAAATTGATTAATTTTATTTTACATAAAAGAATTATTACTTTGATGTGACTTTCAAAGTTCCATCACATTTTCATATTAAAAGCTAGGACACTATTAATTCAAGCTTAGTTTTGTGATTCCGATGGCAAGAAACTTGAAGATTTAGAGCTGAAGGTACTTCTTGTTTGTATTTGTAAACTGACAGAAGAAATGTAATATAAGAACAACACAAATTTTTTGTCTGGCACTGTTATGGCAGTAGGATCTGTAAACATTTATTTGTCTGGTACTGTTGTTGGCAGTAGGATCTGTAACACCATGCTGTCTAGTACTAATTTTTCTTGTGGTGTGTCTGCTATATATAGCTGCGGTATGATGGTTGCTGAAACTTATAAGTGATTTGATGTAATTACTTTGTTGCTTTGGGCGTAGTTTGATTCTTTAGGTCAGTAGATGAAAATGAATGTTTTAATTTTTAAGTATGTGTAGTGAACAATTGTCATCACTGACTGAAAAAGTGTTTTTATTCCCAACTTTCTTTGGAAAAGGTTCAGAACAGTGGATTGCTGCAACATGATGTTTTGATCCAAACTGTATTATATTCCACTTGGATTGACATAGAACTTTGCTTTTATACACGGTCATATTTGTAATGAAAGAGGTTTCTTGTTAAACACTAAAACGATTAAGGTAAAATAAAAAAAGAAAATTAAATCATTAGTCAGTAAGTAGGATGACCAGATGTCCCGGTTTTGGTAGACAGTCCCATTGTTTAATAGTTTGTACCAATGTCTCAAGAAAATTTGGGAAGCACAAAATGTCCCAGCTTCATGATAAAGATATCAAATTGTCAGTCACATCGAATCACGAATGTGATAGGCCTACTTTACTTGCTTATTGTTGTAATATGTGCTCTCCTGCTGCCAGATTTGCACAGGTTTTTTAGTAGTACTTTAGTAGAACTATAACAGTTGGTGAATGTGGGTCTATCACCAAAAAAAGTAGTTGAAAGTACTTCCAAAAAATAATGCCCATGTCAATATATTTGGAAATGTTCTGGAACAGTTTAATAAATTTAAAGTGAATTAAATATAAGTTAAATTATTTCAAATTTATAATAACCCTATTGAAATCGGGGACAAGGGTTGGGCTGTTCCAGTTTTTCAGTTTGGAAATCTGGTCACACCGTCAGTAAGAGTAGTGTAGTGGCAGACAAAATATGAGGCATATTACTTCAACACATTATTTGGAACAAAACACAGATTGATCCAAAACTCCTGTAAGCTGGTAAAACTGTATAAACAAAATGATAAGACTTATTACTAATTAAAAAAGTAGTAATGGTATAATTTTGTACATGAAATTGTATAATTTAGCTCCTTCCCCCTCTCCTCAGTTTGGTTTCAATATACAATTCTGAAGCATGTTTTACATTTAAGTTAAGATCTGTTTACACAGTAAATACTCTTAGTAAAAATGACATTATAATTATATTTTTAGTTAACGTTTAAGCAAACATACGTTAAGTTCTCTTCATTATATATACACGTTAGTCTAAAACTGTTCCTTTTAAATGCTGTCAGCACAAGACTTTTTTTATTAGGCTTAGTGTTTTAAGAACAATCTGACATAGAATTTCATGACGTGGATTCTTCTCCACACTATTAATTTTTCAAGCTGTTTGTATGTATGTGTGTGTATTTTCAGGAATTACATATCACCACAACAGAAGAATGAAGATGTTATATATTGTGCAGCTACACTCGGTTCATCTTCGATCTTGATGTTGTCGTCATCAACCATCTTGTTGTGTTACTGATATGGACCGTAGAAACTATTCAATAGTTAAACACCGATAGTCCAGATAAATAAAAAAACAGAAACAATGTAAATGGTATGTACATAAAATCATAAATAATATTCAACGTTAAACTGGTACACAATGAAAAACATTTTATTTAGGCCTATCTACGGCCTTTAAAAAGTTGACGACTCTACTGAGGATGACGTTGTAATGTCGAAAAATGTAAAGCCGTCAACTTTTTGAAGGCCAT